TGCTAAAATTATTTGATCCTGTGGTGTTCACATTCAGCGAGGCAGAATTGATGACGAATTGATTACTTGACCTGATTTCCCTTTGCTTTTCCTCCTAAACTAACAAGAAAAATGCTTGTGCCATTGAATGTAATGGATTCATCATGAGGATGCTTCCTCTGACTACAGTGTAAACCGCGGTCAAGCCCATAAGAAATTGGATTAATCTCCTATCATGCTCTGCCTTATGTATGCTTTCTTTGTCTTCGCAGGTGCAATGACAGCTACATTGACTCTTGACACTCAGAGTGCTCAATTATTCCCACAAATTCTTCATTTTGGTGTAATAAGCAGTGATGTCCATGTTTCCTTAAGACAAATTATTGATTTCCTTTTGGATTTGGTATAGTTTTGCACCATCCATATGATCGTAATGATCTTGTAACTCTTTCCACAATTCCACTGCATCATTGACGTATTCAACTCCATCAGCTATCTCCTTAGCTATAGAATTCAGAATCCATGATGTGACCATACCGTCACACCTCTCCCACAGGTGATACATTGGTGATTTCAGATCTGGCTTTTTACATTCGCCATTTATGAAATCTAATTTGTTTTTTACCGAAAGCGCTCGTAATACACCTCTTCTCCATGAACGTTAACCACTGCCATCAAACGGAACTTGAACCAGCATCGCACCAGGATTATTTGATGGATGCATGTAGAAAAGACTACTCGAATCAACACCATATTCTTTAATTGATTCAGCAATGGTTTCAACATCAGATTGTTCAATTTTATTGGTAACAACCATGATTTAAAGAACTAGGTTATTAAGTATCTAAGGCTCAAAATAATTTGTTGAACCCTAATTTTTTAGAAAATTAGACCTAAATCACAATTGCATGTGCGAATTGAGCAATTGAGAATGAGTATGAAGTAACGTGAATCCGGAACGAGAGAGAGAACATGTGTTACTCTGATACCATATCAAACATAGCTCGAACTGAGCTACAATGGAGGTCGGAAGCCTCTGGAAAGAAGCAAGAATATAGAAGAGAAAGCAGAGAACATGTGAGCGGAGAAGAAGAAATCTCAAACTGATTAATTGTATGTAGGTCCCCTTATATACAACTAGCAACTGGAATGTAAAATATATAATCTAATGTGATTACAATTGTCAAATACTAACTACTAACTATTGACTCAGCACATACTGACTAATCTGGAAAGAGAAAAAATATATGATAAATATTTAATCTCAATAATTCTGAAAAGCAAAAAGAATCAAGTAGAATAAGATCCATTAAGAAGATGAATTTATTACACAAATAAAGTAATCCTTTTGTTATATGAAACTTTTCCAAAGTAGAAAGTAAAGAGGAAAAAACATAATCAGAAAAATAGTGTGAAATAAGTGAATTTATCGAATTGAGGTATTCTTAATTTTATTTATATGTAAAAATATGCATCTGCCTTACTTTTTCATGCAGAAGGGAAATTCAGACCCAAAGAAACGCAATGAAAATTGAAAAGTGATTCATTCCTCCTTCAAACACTATAAAGTCAAAGAAAATGAAAAAATCATCAAGAGTGTGTTTGATATGATAGAAGTGATCTAAACTACCGATTTTTTGAGTGAGACCCCAAAGAACATGCAAAATAAGCAAGTGTTTTATGAAATAGTATAATAGTATGTTGAAGCCCACTCTGGAGGCATACCCACACAACTGGCCTAGTAGTGTTGTGCGCATGACCCTGCCCAAGTTACATTTTATTATTTACTTGTAATATTATTTTTTATTAATTCTTTCATGTAAATATATAAAGACATTTGGTGGAATAAAGAGATCACACGGGTTATTGTCTCATTAGTTGTTTCCTTTTCTCTCTCTCTCTCATCTCTCGACCCTTCTAGGGTGTATCGCTCCTCTTTTGACCATAGCTCATTGAGCTTCATTCCAACATGGTATCAGAGCGTAAAATATGGTTCTCTATATCGTGAGCTTATTTTTCAACGGAGTTGCTTGGGAATTTCATTAGGATCAATTTTTGGTTCAAACTCGAGACGTTGTTGAGGTTTCTATTTCTGGACGAAAAATTTGAGATTTATACTCAAATCGCACTCTGTGTCACTCGTACTGGTGAGAATTTCTGGTAGTGCGACGGATTCGATGAAAGTTGGGATCGACTCAAGCTAGGGTTTTCGGTGTATATAAAACCTTACTTCTTCATGTTTTTCAGAAGAAGGCTAGTTATTTCATTCCAATCTACACACTTGAGGACTATCCTGATATGATTTAGAGTTTACATTGTATATATTTCATGTTTCCATGTCATTACACTGGACTCATTCTCAGTTTAGTATTGATTAATTGTTAGGTACTTTTGCTTGTTTAGTTGTTCTTAGCTAGCTTATGATATGGGTAGCACTATGGATAATCTCGGTTCTCCTTCGGTTTCTACCTCTGAGGGGTTCGCACCTTTCACACTCTATCCATATCATCCCTTTTACATGCACCCTCTGACAGTCTTGGTAGCCAACTAGTGCATGTACCATTTAATAGGTATGGTTTTGTACTTTGGAGAAGCAGTATGCTCATTTCTCTCTCAACCAAAAATACATTAGGGCTTTAAGATGGTAGAATTGCTCAACCTGCCCCTAATTCCCCTTATTACACTTACTGAGAGAGATGCAATGATATGGTTAAAGCTTGGATCATTAATTATGTGTCTAAAGACATAGCTACTAGTGTTGTGTGCCTTAGGACTGCAAAGGAAGTTTGGACTGATATTAATGAGCTATTTGGGCAATTTAATGGGTCCAAATACCTTCAAATTCAAAGTGAAAGCAGTTCAATTGTTCAGGGTTCATCAAACATTGCTACATATTTCACCAAACTTAGAAGCCTTTGGGATGAGTTAAATTACTCATATGTAGGACCTATATGCTCTTGCGGAGCTCTTTCCAAATTCATAGAAGATCAATAACATTTTCAGTTCCTCAATGGGCTTAATGACTCCTACTTAACTGTAAAAATTGCAATCATGATCATGAATCTCTTGTCAACTATAAGCATGGCTTATTCTCTTCTACAACAAGATGAAAGCCAAATGAAAACTCCATCCACCATTCCAAACTTTTCAAATGAATCTTCTTTCTCTGTCTCTTCAACTTCTACCACAACTAATAGAAACTTTACCCAAAGGATCAACTTTGATTCCATAAAGAATATGTCTTCTGTTTCTTGCAAATATTGCAAGAAACTTGGCCACATAGTGGACAAATGCTACTAGTTACATGGTTTCCCTGCAGACTTTAAGTTTACCAAAAAACAAGAGTCAACTTTATGTGTCCGGACTAACATTCCACATGGTCAACCAAGTGCTTCCACAACACAACCTTCTGACAACTCTGCTCATGGATTCACCAAGGAGCAATATCATCATCTGATGACTCTATTCCAAAAAGTTAGTTGTCTCCTGGTGTTGGTTCTGAGAATTTCTCTACTAAGAATTATGAGTTCGCACACTTTGCAGGTTTGATTACTGCTTATGCTGTACATTCTGTTGCCTCTCATGTATGTGTATCTTCTCAGTTAGGCATAAACCCTTGGATATTGGATTCAGAGGCAACAAACCACATGACCCCACACAACATTTACTTCACAAACTTGTACTTTTACCTAAGTATTTTCTTGTCACTCTACGTAATGGATATAACGTAAAGGTTTTATCAACTGGTTCTCTACATCCCAGACATGATATAATCTTACTTAATGTCCTACTTGTACCATCTTTGCATTTTAATCTGATTTCCAAACATTAATTGATTTCTCAATTGGATTGTATAACCATTCTTACCAAGTCTAATTGTTCTCTACAAGGCGATTCTCTAAAGAGGCAATGTAATTGGTAAGGCTGCTGGAAGGCTATACTACCTCCACCCTGATGCTGATTTGTTTCTAACTTTAGATTTGACTTTCTCTTTTTCTTATTCTGTGTCATGTCATAAGTCTGAGTTTGTTATCTCCCATGTAAATACTCGTCCATGTATTCAAACGCCTGCTGTAAATAGAATAGATTTGTTTTGACATCAAAGGTTGGGGCATATGCCTTTTCATAGAATGAAATCTACTCTTTTTCTATTTGATAAAGTCTCTTCAAAACAACAGTATTTTTGTTCAATTTGTCTAATGGCTAGGCAACAAGGATTACCTTTTCATGATAGTCAAATTCATTCTACTGCCTCATTTCAGTTAGTACATATTTATGTTTGGGGACCTTATAACACCAAAACTTATAATGGTTTTAGATATTTTCTGACATTAGTTGATGTATATAGTAGAGTAACTTGAACTCATCTTTTATCTTGTAAAAGCAATGCACTTCATGTCTTAAAGCTTTTACTTTCATGGTTAAAGTTACACTTCCAGTCTTCAATTCAAACCTTTAGATCAGACAATGTTTATGAACTTGGTAGTAATTTTGAGGCTGCTACTTTCTTTGCCAATCAAGGTATTCTACACCAAATAACAATTCCACACACTCGACAACAAGATGGAGTTGTGGAAAGAAAACATAAACACTTGTTAGAAGTATCTGGAGCTCTTCTTTTTCAATCAAATCTACCTCTCAAATTCTGAGGAGACTGTGTATTAACTGCCAATTAGCTCATTAACAGAATGCCTTCAGCCATTTTGAACAATATTTCTCCTTTTGAAAAATTAAATGGACATCAACCATCTTATGATCATTTGAAGTCATTTGGCTATTTGTGCTTTACCACTTCCCAAAAAAATGTGACATCAACTATTCAGAACATTCTCAACATCTTCATAATATCTTCAATAGATTTGAAATCTCATTTCTTGTAAAGTAGATTTATTTTGCAGAAGGAAGATTACACTAGTTTCAAATTAACTAGGAAATTTGTTACATTTCAGATACTGCCTAAGAAAATGATGAACAAGTAAATAATTTACAAAGCAAAAACTTGGACGCCAGAAGCGAGGAAATAAAGGTGTTCCTAATCTATCTGACTGGAAATCTATCATTAATGTATAATGTTAATCTCATTGACTGTGCATAATTGTATATACTGGAAATCTATCATTAATGTATAATGTTAATCTCATTGACTGTGCATAAAATAATCTCTAATCGTCCTCTTCAAAGAGGATGGAGGATTCAGAACCGAAGAGGGGCTCTTGCTTGCAGCTTCTGGAGTTCTCTCAAAGTTCTCTTCAACTTCAAAACTCTGAAAATGTTTCATCTTATGTGACTCTGGAGTGCTGATTTCAGGAGTCTTAGTTGAACTAGGCAAATTTTCTGAATGACAGTCAGACTCATTCTTGATGCTTTCTGGTTTTTCATCAGTGAACAGCTTGCGACGTTCTATGTTAGTAAGTCCCATTACTCTTCTTCGAATGGACGATGGAGATCTTGTGTTTGAGTAACAACTGCTTTGAATGTTCCAAAAGCGCACCTGGCAAAGAGTTTGAAAATAGTACATTGGAACCATCTTAATTGAGCAAGCAATCTCACAACAAAAGATAACGCAAACGACATCATATTCTTTTTTGTTTTTAACATTATGGATTTGATCATGCTGATGTTCTGCTCATCTGTACAGCTTACCGTGAAATCATCTGATGTTGTAGCAACTTTTCCTGTCTCGGATGGGCACCTATAGCAGTTGAATATTCAGATGATGGTTAGATTTGCTATAGGGACAAGTATCAATAATACGGAACAAACTTACCAGTCTACTGCTGTAACTTCTCCATCATGGTTTTTCAATACAAGGGGATCTGCTAGAGGTTTGTTCACCTGAGTCATGAGTATGTTGGAGTTAGTACCACATAAATGGAATCCAGTCAAAACCTTTGTAGTTACCAAACTGACCTGCCATATATAGGCATTTCCATCACTGGAACCACTGAGTACATGAGCTGCATCAGGACTTATCGCTGACTGAAATTGTCAAAAACTTCTTTAGTTCCACAAAGTTTATATTCCAAGTAATGATCATGGAAATTGACAATGTCACTCACCTTAACGAAAAATGAATTAATTTGGCATCCTGTGAATGTTTTCACTGGCCCTTTTTCTGGCTGAAGCACATTGTAGAGATAGATTCTGAAGAAAAACACAGATCCACAGAAGAAGAAAATATCAGATGTTTAAGCTTAATAAGAGAGAATATTAGGTTCTCGTTTTGTGCATAATAGGTGTAGTCTTCATATTAGCTGGTGAAAATTGTGACTTCGTGTGATACTCATCAGAACATTGGCATACCTGCTGTCCATGCATGAAGCAGCAATAAACACGCCATTTAAATCTTGAGATAAACTAGATACTCCATGTAATCGCTTTCCCTGAACAAGATCAAAAGCTGTTATATATCAATCAAGAATTGCTAAACTATGAACAAGTTAGATCATTTGCCAATTAAAACCAACCGAACAACCTTAACATCACTAATCATAAAGGAGGGACCAGGTTAAATCATAGTTATTAATGAAACAAATTTTGTGAAATGCTGCTCAATGTTGTGAAGGTCACAGAAAACATCGCTAGCCTATCATAACATGGAAATTTAACTTTATCATTACCTTATGGGATGACACATTAGGATGAGGGCATGCCTGGAGAATAGGACTCTTCAGGTTCCTGGTATCCCAAAACTTTATGACACTGAAATTTAAAAGTAAAAGCAGTGAATAACACAAATCACACAATAAACCCCACTTTGAAGTGCTTGCTAAATTTGAGGAACATTGCAAGTTTTCTTAGACACCTGTCAACTGCTCCAGCAGTAGCAATGGAGATCTCATCTTTCAGGTAAAGGACTGAAGTAATGCTCATGGAAGTAGCCTGAAATAATTTTTGGCAGTAAGAAATAAATTGTGCATTCATAAGTATAGAATAGGGTCATAAAGGAAATCTTCACGAGGACAAACCTTTCCACCTTTAACCCGCCTCTGACGAGGAGAAACGTGAGCCTTGTGGATTGCTGCAATTGACCTGAACAAAGAACACATATTAGAGACTGGTTTAAACTTTAAAGCTGCTAACTCTACTTGTCTTTTTAAATTTGTAATCTGGGAAAGATACTAGAAGTGTTCCCAATTTTGCTCATGCTAATGAAACTAGAAGCAAGACAGCAATTGATAATGCTCTTTAATCACCATTTTGATCTTACGGTTATAATAAAGTACTTACGGTATGGAAAATATCTGACTGCTGCTGCACGAGCTCCTCAAGTCCCATAGGGAAAAGGACCCATCTCTTGAACCAGATACAATAATATCTATTTAAAAGCAAATCACATGCGGGGATCAGAACATGCCATAACTTTGAGTAAAGAAAGTGTGGAAGGGAAAAAGAGTGATTCGGGGAAGAGAAGTAGGAAAATCACAAACGTACCCTGATTCGTAGGATGAGAACAAATGGATTTCACACTCCCGGTGTGACCCATTAATGCTCTAATACATTGCTTTTCTTGTGCATCCCATAACTTTATCTGCTCACATACATCAAGATTACTTGTAAGCAATGGATATTATCATACAAAACTTTGTATAATGACCTTGAGATCATTAAGTTTCTAGATAATTAAATATCAAAGTCAATTGTACAAACACTACGATCAAGCAGTCAATATGCAAATGCTACTGTAACCAGATGTTTTGTCCTTAAAGTACATAGAACAGTTTAAATTGACAACCAAAAACTAACTCAGTTTCTACTACATAAGCAAATATCAGATATAGTCACTCACGCATTGATCGCCTGAAGCAGTTAAGATATTTGTATCATCCTGCAAAGATCAAATGTATGTCATGTTAACAAGTTATAACTGAAAAATGATTGCACAAAAATAAAAAAACACATGAAAACCATAGTAGTTTAGCAGATGCCTTTATTCATGTTTCAACATGTCTAATAAAGTCAAAACTCTCTATAACAGCATCCATATATAACAACACTTCACTATAAAAGCCAAGCTTTTCCGGAACCAATTTTCATGTTATGTTATAATATATGTTCTATATATCAACACTTTACTATAACATCCAAAAATATTCAGAACAAACGAGGCTGTTATAGAGAGGTTTGACTGCACATCCGACCCAATATATTTGACCGGCTTCATTTTAGGTTATCCTTGCAAAAACTAAAAAAGATGAATGCGGATTGAAGATTCGGGTATTCTTAAATCAAACTCAGACTCTAATAGTAATACATTTTTAGGACAGAAATAAAAGCATGGATGTCTGATTGGGGTGAAACTGTCTTATTTTCTTCTCTTTGAGCATTCAATTCGTTTCTTCCCCAGTCTTTGCTTGGAATTTAAACTCCTTAGTGTGGACCTCTTAGGATGCAATGCCCCGAAATTGCTTCTCTTTCCTGAACACTTTTTGGTGCTCCCCGAATAGTGTTTATATTAGTTGCTTTAACTCATGTCCAATATTCAGTAATAGGAGTAAGTGTTGTCAACGGCTCATTTAAGGTAAGGCCTGAAATTCAGAAAAGCTCAGGGAGGATGCACCGCCTCACTTAAGTTGTGTTTCAATGGAAGCAAGGCAGTATGGCATGTGCATATTGCCCATGACTTCTATCTTGAATCGAGCAGTACTAAACAATAAATATAATTAGCAAAGAGATATATCATTTTTTAAGGAAATCATTATGATAGAATTTGTTACTTTTTTCTTGCATTTTAAATATGTATATTAGTTTTTCTTCGTTGCACCTTTTTTAATAAAGCATGCATTTTGCGCATACAGCCCGTATAGATCGCAGCTCTTTTTTTAAAGCCTTTTCCTTTGACAACACTGAGGAAAAATCTTGGTTATCAAATTAATTTGGAAACTGAGATGTACCTTGATCCAACATACATCAAATATAGCATTTTCATGAGCGACCCACTCTGACATCTTAGCTTTTTCTGTAAATTGCAAATTGATCAGGTAGAAGTCCAAGAAATATAACATCAAAGCAAAATTCAGAATTAAGAAAGAATTTTTAAGTAACAACTTACCTGCATTTTGCTGGTGTGTTGATGAAGGGGGAAATTTCAACCTGGTATTATACAAGCTAACATAGCCACCCTCATCAGCAACAGCAAGAATATGTGAATTTTTACTTGTCTGCTTAACAACACAATATTAGTGTATGACTTACCAACGTGTCAAAATTATAAAATATTTTGCAGTATTAGTATTGAGACTCATTTGATTCATAGATCCAACCTTGCAGAAGGAGACGGCCATTGGAGGTGGCGTGTTGCCATTGTGCTCAACAGCGAGGGCACCAATTTGGTCAACCTCAGACGATTCAATGCTGATATATGGTCTTTTTTTAACTGGACAAGTACACAGATAAAGTCAGAAAAAATTTGAAATCAAACTGATGAACTCATGTTAGTGACAATAGGCAGATTCAGCATAAAAGCAGTGGGTACACTTGATCAATTTTCTTGGACTCGTAGAGTTTAAATTATAGATCTATCTCTAATTAGTATATATATTTATGACACAAAAAGATACAGAAAAGAGATTTGAGGGAAACCTCGGAATCCGTGAAGCTCTCTTGATTTGATATCTTGGAAAAAAGATTGATGCTTATTTGATCCTTCCATTTAGAGCTCTTCAGTTACAAATTTTAACAATTGGGGATGAGTTCTATCACTTGAAACTCTTCGGAGCTGTAAAGGGATGGAGTAGAGAAGAAGAATGTGTGTGCCTAATTGCCTATGTTACTAATGCTCGGATTTTGGCGCGAGGGTTGTAATCCGACAAGGCGGGAAATTTACTTGAATTTTTTCCCGCTGGCGCCTTGTTGCCGCGGGTTGAATTATGCAATTTCGCATTATCATAGACAATATATATATATAAAAAATAATACGATAATTATTAGTATAGTCACAAATTTAATTTGGAAAATTTCTGCTTTTAGTTCCTTAAATATCGTGATATTTGGTTAAACACATTTAACTTTCAATTGATTGAAATGTGCATTTTTTTATCCCTTTGCTTGTGAATATTCACAATTTCCTTTTCTTTTCTTTTTTTTAATTCCCTTCCCTTTGATCCCCTTTGTTGGAGCTATTTGTCATGTCCTTAGTCGTTAGCTAAGTACACGTGTGGCACTTGACAACTCGCTCACGATCTTGCACAACTTGCTCACGTTCTTGCTATGCCAAGTCAACCTTACTACACTCAAGAACGCTAAGAGAATGGTAGAAAGAACACAAGAGAATTGCTAAAGGAAGCTTTATATTAGAGAGAACTTGAATTGTTTGCTTGATGAATTACAAATGGATGGCCCCCTTTATATACTAGTCTCCTAGAGGCTAATGTGTACATATTAACTGTTACACAAGTCCCTTATTATTTACAAGTAAGTCCATTCTCTAAAATTTTCTACATAGCTAGAATCTTCTAAGAATTTTCCTAGCAAATCTATAGGGATCTAAAGTCTTCCTAAGAAAATGTCCATGCTTCTCTAGAATCTTCCCACAAATGTTAGCCTTCCTCTTATGTAAGCTTCCACGTGGCATTAATATATGTCAAATGGCGCCTATGTGGCATGATGACATGGCGGGTCATCACACTCTCCCCCACCTAATATTGCGACGACCGCGGCGCAATGCTGCTGCATAAACTCTCGGATCTTATCTTTGAATTGCCACAAGTCTTCATATCGTTCCCACGTGGCCTCCTCCGGTGATTGCCTTTCCAATGGACGAGGAACATAACGGTGGCTTATTGACTTTGTTTTCGCCTGGCCTGATAATCCATAATAGCCTCAATCTCCCGATCATGCGAGGCGGTGATAGTCATTGGCGCTCGACTTGATTGGCCCCTACTCGGATCATCCTTATCTTCATGATATGGCTTAAGCATGCTGGCATGGAAGACAGGGTAGATCTTAAGATACGATGGCATGTCAAGCTTGTATGAGATCTTGCCTACCTTGGCGACGATCTTAAATGGCCCCTCATACTTGCGAATCAAATTCTGATACATGCCCCGTAGTGCCTTGAACTGCCTCCAAGGTGTTGCTATAGATGACTATGTCGTCTAGGTAGACTACCACGAACGGATCAATGTAGGGAGGGAAAATCTTGTTCATAAGGGTGCAAAATGTGGCCGGTGCATTGGTTAAGACGAAGGGCATCACCAACCACTCAAAGGCTCCATATCTCGTCACACATGCTGTCTTTGGCTCATCCCATTCCGCAATACAAATCTGTTAGTAGCCCTTTCAAAGATGCACCTTGGTAAAGTACTTGGCTTGCCCAAGTCTATCGAACAAGTCAGCAATGAGCGGGATCGGGTACTTATTCTTCACTGTGACCTTATTAAGTGCCCGGTAGTCTATGCACAAATGCAACGATCCATCCTTCTTCTTCTTGAACAATACTGGTGCACCAAAAGGTGCCTTTGATGGGCGAGTGTGACCAGCATCTAGCAGCTCTTTCAATTGTTTCCTGAGCTCCTCTAGCTCGGGCAGTGCCATACGATATGGGGCAAATGCGGGTGGCTTAGACCCTGGCTCCAACTCAATCTTGTGATCCACCTCTCGCCTAGGCGGCAAGTGCTTAGGCAACTCCTCGGGCATGACATCTTTGTCTCCTCAAGCAACTTCTCTATGCAAGGCGGCACTATCTCATGAAAATTCTTGTCTTCCTCTAGACTTGCAATGGTTGCCACGAACGTCGGCTCCCCCTTCTTGATCCCCTTGACAACTTGCATAGCTGAGAAAAGAAGGAAAACTAAGTACTAAAGATAGAATAAGAGGGAGACTCGTCGGTCTGCGGACGTAGCAGATCTACCTCGAAGTCTCCGTAGTCCTCCTGCCTCACTGATAGTGCGCCTGAGTAGAGGTACCTGGATGATCTGCACATGAAAAAAAAATGCGCAGGAAGGGCATGAGTACACCATAGCGGTACTTAGTAAGTGCCAAGCCTAACCTCGGTTGGGTAGTGACGAGGAAGGTCAGGGCCATACTGAGACAAAATATAGTAATAACAATAATTAACAGTATGATAATCTGACAGAAATAATAAATACAGCAGAGATATAAGACAGATTAAGCAAGGCAATAGCAAATACACAAGAACGGAACAACCACAGAATAAGTACAGCTCAACACCAATGGTAACAATGAGGATCTCCCAGGATACCGTACTGTAGTCCTTTTCTCAACTGTCCAGTGGATCTCCCGGGATACCGTTCCGTAGTCCATCATATGTGTATATCCGAAGGATCTCCTGGGATACCGTCCCGTAGTCCAACTATCAATGTGCAGAGGGATCTATCGGGAATCTAACCCGTAGTCCCAAAGTTAAAGTGTGGGGGGATCTACCGTGAATCGAACCCGTAGTCCCAAAGTAAACAAACAAGGGGGGGGAGCTACCGGAATCCCACATCCGTAGTCCCAATGTAAATGCGCAATCACAAGCAGAAGGTACACGGAAACGAAATACAAAAGACAAGCAACAGGTAGTACTGGCTAGCATGCTTCACGTAGTACAGTTAAGGCAACTTAAGCAATTAGGCAAGTTAAATCAACTAAACATGCTTTCCTAATCTAGCACAAGTTATAATTGCAAGTAGAATAAAGCAAATATGAAAGGAACTCAATCTCAATATCTTAAGAAAAACCGGATTTCCAACAATTGGCTCAAGTACACGCCCGTCACCTCGCGTACAAGGCACTCAAATCAACAAATAACAATTCTAAGGGTAAAGGTCCCCCACACAGGGTTAGACAAGCCACTTACCTCGAATCGGCACCAAAATCAACTCGAAATCGCACTTTTGCCACGAGTATCCGACTCCAAATGGTCCAAATCTATTCAATTCAATTACATATCGTAAGTAATATTGCAAACAACTGATTCCACTATGAAATTTGAAGCTAGGACGCGAAAATAGGTAAAATGACCAAAATGCCCCTCAGACCAACATCTCGGAATCGAATAATTTTCATATTTCCAGAACCTCGTACTCTCACGAGTCTAACCATATAAAAATCTCCCAAATCGGAGGTCAATTGCCCACTCAAAACTCAATAATTAGGTCTATGAAGTTTCTTCCAATTTTTCCCCAAATTTTGACCTTGAATTCGAATTCTAATGGTGGATTTAACTATATAATGATGAAATATAACAAGAAGGGACCAAAGAAACGTTACCCAGTGATCTTCACTTCAACTCCCACTCAGAATCGCCTTAAACCGAGCTCTCAATTGATTTTTGTAACTTATGAACTCAAACCCTCGAAATTTCTATTTCTGCCCAGGGATTTCCGCTTCTGCGGACAAGGGACCGCTTCTGCGGAAAGTGAGCCACTTCTGCGACTCTCACTAAACGACCACATCCGCTTCTGCGGTCCAGTCAACTGCTTACCGCTTCTGCGGTTCCAACTAAAAGCCAAACGGCCGCATCTGCGGGTATTTTCTCGCAGATGCGAGGCCGCTCCTGCGCAATTTCCTCCGCATCTGCGACGCCTGGAAACTCTGCCCCAAACCGCTTCTGCGATGATCCAGCCGCTTATGCGGCTCCGCTTCTGCGGTTCCCAAGCCGCAGAAGCGAAAATACCAGAAGATGAAAAGAACCAGCTGCTGCAACACTTCAAAAATCTCCCCGTTAACCACCCGAAATCATCCCGAGGCCCCCGGGACCTCAACCAAAAGCACCAATACCACCTAATACCTTATTCAAACTTGTACCAATCCTTAAAACACCTAAAACAACACCGGAAGTCCGATTAAATCAAAGATTCAAGCCTAAGAACTTCAAATTCCAACAAAACACACTTTCGATCAAAAACCAAACCAAACCTCGCCCGAATGACCTGAAATTTTGCACACACATCCCAAATGACATGACGGAGCTACTGCAACTTCCAGAATTCCAATCCGACCCTCGGATCAAAAACTCGCTATCGGACCGGAAACTTCAAAAATTCAAACTTCGGCATTTCAAGCCTAAATGAGCTACGAGCCTCCAAAATACATTCCGAACACGCTCCCAACCCCGAAATCACCTAACGCAGCTAACGGAATCATTGGATTTCCATTCCGAGGTCTTCTTCACACTGTTCCGATTACGGACCTTTTTTCAATTCTTAAGCTCTCATTTAGGGACTAAGTGTCCCAAAACACTCCGAATCCCAACACCGAACGTCCCGCCAAACCAAAATAGCAGAAATGAACTTAGGGGAAGCAGTTAATGGGGGATCGGGGCGTAAATTTCAAAAACGACCGGCCGGGTCGTTACAGCAACCCCCTCTTGTCGAATATTCACAAATTAAATGAACTACTCCTATTAACTGTTATATCATTTAATTTCTCATGTTGTATGTTTAGTTTGCATTGTTACTCCGTATATGAGAGTAATATAGTTGTAACTTTACAAATAATCTAAGTAAAATTAACCCAAATAGCCGCTCATCCAACCGCTAAAACTAAAAATAGCTAATGAATATATATATATAAGGTTAGAAAGAGTAAACAGTGAATATGACAGGCTATTTGTGTAAAATTCCCAAAAATACATACGTAGCTTAATTGAAGGCTAAATGTGCTTATCATTTAAATCAAGGACCAGAATTAGAATTTACAAACAATTGAGGTACCATATGCAAAGCTTTTTCCACTTTAAATCCCTCTAGGTAGTTTGCTGCAAGAATATTCCTTTGTCAAAGGCTTTATAATTCTACTTTGTTTCCATGCAACATACATCTAGCTACTGTTATTAATTGTCTCAT